GGGGGGAGGGTGATCATCCCAGAGAATTGGGTGTGGGAGGGGAGAGGGGTTAGTTGGGTTTGTGCAGCCCCTCCTTTTACACTGCAAACCCATTTTAAATGGCAATACCATGGGTGTTTTGTATGGGAAATGAGGGCGCTGCTCTTTGAAACCATTCCCACATGTTATGAAGGTTAAAAAAGCCAAAAGACTGTGGCTTACCATGGCTGCCTGCAAGCCGAATTCTGTTGCCTGGCACTGCGTGAGTGATCTCTCACTCCAAAACACCAGGCCCTCAATATAAGAGGAAAAATGCGACCTTGTAATGAAAGCACATGTGCTGTGTAATGTGAACAGCAAAATTTAATGTGAAAGAGTGTACCCATTGTTCTCTAAAACGTGTCTTTTTAACCACCTCTCCTTTTTCCTCCACCAGCTGCAAATGTTTCTCCTTCGCAGAGGCTAGTGAAGATTAGAAGGAGAAAATGGCAGTCTCGGGATGATATGTTCTCGGAGCTCCGGATGTCCTCCCACGCTTACAGAGCACAGCAAAATGCGTGGAAGCAGACAATGTCAGAGTGCTGAAAAGCACAATATGAATGAGAGGAGAGGTGGCGGGCTGAATTGTGGGCTGAAGAGAGCAAGTGGCGGGCTGAAGAGGATAGGTGGCATGAGCTTGCTGACAGAAGGCAAGAGTCGATGCTCCAGCTGCTGGAGCATCAAACTGATATGCTCCAGCGTATGGTTGAGCCGCAGGAAAGGCAGCAGGAGCAGAGACCACCGCTACAGCCCCTGTGTAACCAACAGCCCTCCTCCCCAAGTTCCACAGCCTCTTCACCCAGACACCCAAGGACACGGTGGGGGGGCCTCCGGCCACCCAGCTACTCCACCCCAGATGATTGCCCAAGCATCAGAAGGCTGGCCTTCAATAAGTGTTAAAGTGCAGTGTGTCCTTGTCCTTCCCTCCTCCCCCACCCCACCCAGCACTTACCTTCTCCCCCACCCCTCCTGGGCTACCTTGGCAGTTATCCTATTTGTGTGATGAAATAATAAAGAATCCATGAATGTGAAGTAACAATGACTTTATTGCCTCTGCAAGCGGTGCTCGAAGGGGGGAGGGGAGGATGGTTAGCTTACAGGGAAGTAGAGTGAACCCAGGGCGGGGGGTTTCATCAAGGAGAAACAAACAGAAGTTTCACATCGTAGCCTGGCCAGTCACAAAACTGGTTTTCAAAGCTTCTCTGATGCGCACCGCGCCCTGCTGTACTCTTCTAACCGCCCTGGTGTCTGGCTGCGCATAATCAGCGGCCAGGTGATTTGCCTCAACCTCCCACCCCACCATAAATGTCTCCCCCTTATTCTCACAGATATTGTGGAGCGCACAGCAAGCAGCAATAATAATGGGGATATTGGTTTCACTGAGGTCTATCCGAGTCAGTAAACTGCACCAGCGCGCTTTTAAACATCCAAATGCACATTCTACCACCATTCTGCACTTGCTCAGCCTATAGTTGAACAGGTCCTGATTATTGTCCAGGTTGCCTGTTTATGGCTTCATGAGCCATGGCATTAAGGTATAGGCTGGGTCCCCAAGGATAACTATAGGAATTTCAACATCCCCAACAGTTATTTTCTGTTCCGGGAAGAAAGTCCCTTCCTTCAGCTTTTGAAACAGACCAGAGTTCCTGAAGATGCGAGCATCATGTACCTTTCCCGGACATCGCACGTTGATGTTAGTGAAATGTCCCTTGTGATCCACCAGGGCTTGCAGCAGCATTGAAAAATACCCTTTTCGGTTCATGTACTCACTGGCTTGGTGCTCTGGTGGCAAGGTAGGGATATGGGTTCCGTCTATCGCCCTACCACAATTAGGGAATCCCATGGCAGCAAAGCCATCCACTATGACCTGCATGTTTCCCAGAGTCACTACCCTTGATACTAGCAGGGCTTTGATTGCGTTGGCTACTTGGATCACAGCAGCCCCCACAGTCGATTTGCCCACTCCAAATTGATTCCCGACTGACCGGTAGCTGTCTGGCATTGCAAGCTTCCACAGGGCTATCGCCACTCACTTCTCAACTGTGAGGGCTGCTCTCATCCTGGTATTCTGGCACTTCAGGGCAGGGGAAAGCAACTCACAAGGTTCCATGAAAGTGCCCTTACGCATGCGAAAGTTTCGCAGCCACCAGTCTGTGCTTGTTTCCCGGGCCCAGAATCGGTGTTCCACGGCATGAACCTGCCCCATTAACACCATGATTTGCACATTGCTGGGGCCTGTTCTTTGTGAGAGGTCTATGTCCATGTCAATTTCTTCATCAGTCTCGTCGCTGCACTGCAATCGCCTCCTCGCCTGGTTTTGCTTTGGCATGTTCTGGCTCTGCATATACTCCAGGACAATGTGCGTGGTGTTCATAGTGCTCATAATTGCCGCGGTGATCTGAGCGGGCTCCATGATCCCAGTGCTATGGCGTCTGGGCTGAAAAAAGGCGCGAAACTATTGTCTGACGGAGGAAGGGAGGGGCGAGTGACGACATGGTTTACAGGGAATTCAAATCAACAAAGGTGGCTGTGCATCAGGAAGAAACACAAACAACTGTCACACAGAATGGCCCCCCCCAAAGATTGAACTCAAAACCCTGGGTTTAGCAGGCCATTTATTTCACGGAGGGAGGGGGAAGCAAATGAATACAGAACAAATCTTGTCCATCAATCTTTTACATCTTAGGCTGGAATGTTACCAGATGTGCCCATTATTTTGGGGTATGCTCATTTATTCGGGTTACTCCTCTGGGGAAGGGGGTTCTGTAATCCTGTCAATGTACTGCTTGTGTCACTTGTGTTTACATATGGAGCTCTACTTCTCCCTTCTGCAAGTCCCCTCCCAATGGAGCTATCCTGTAGGACCTAAGGTCCCTAAGGCTGGGTTACTCCCACCCCAGAACCAGATAAACACCCACACACCCACGCATACATTAACAGAGCAAGTCTGAGCGGACTGGGTCAATCAGCACTGTCAAGCTGACCCCTCATATGTCTCTGGACTCACTGGGCTGGATGAAGCAGCACTTTCAAGCTGTCTCTCCTTATATGCCCCTGAGCTCCATGGACTGGGTCAAGCAACACTTTCAAGCTGTTACCCTTATGTGTCCCAGATTCAGCACGTCCCTATCCCCACTCCCCCAACATAATTGCACTGGCAGTAACCTACTTGATGAGCAAACCCCACAGTATTTTGGGCGCTGCAGGGATCTTTAGCTTAGGTAAAAGAAGCGTTGCTGTAGAGTGAATGGGGGAAGCTAAAAACACAACCGAGTAAAGTTCAGCAAGAGAGAGAGAGAGAAACAACCAACGTAACCATAGAAGTTATTTATTGAATAATAGTGATAACTACACAAGAAGGACTAAACCAACATAACATACATGATTAAAGGCTAATACCTAAGGTAG